AAACTGGTTAATGAGTTCCACAAAGACCAACGGAACAGAATAGAGAACCCAGCAATAAACTCACACACCTACAGCCATTTGATCATAAACAAAAATAAACAATTGAAAATAGGCCGGGCGCGGTGGCTCAAGCCTGTAATCCCAGCACTTTGGGAGGCCGAGGCGGGTGGATCACGAGGTCAAGAGATCGAGACCATCCTGATCAACATGGTGAAACCCCGTCTCTACTAAAAATACAAAAAATTAGCTGGGCATGGTGGCGCGTGCCTGTAATCCCAGCTACTCGGGAGGCTGAGGCAGGAGAATTGCCTGAACCCAGAAGGCAGAGGTTGTGGTGAGCCGGGATAGCGCCATTGCACTCCAGCCTGGGTAACAAGAGCGAAACTCCATCTCAAAAAAAAAAAAAAAAAAAAATTTAAAAATAAATAAAACTGGACCCCTATCTTTCATTATATATAAAAATTAACCGCAAATGAATAAAACATTAAATGTAAGACCTCAAGCTATAAGAATACTGGAAGAAAACCTAGGAAACACCATTCTAGACATAGGACTTTGGAAATAATTTATGACTAAGTCCTCAAAAACAAATGTAACAAAATCAAAAATTGATTGGGACCTAATTAAACTAAACAGCTCTGCACAGTAAAACACACCATCAACAGAGTAGACAGACAGCTTACTGAATAGGAGAGAGTATGTGCACGCCGTGTACCCAACCAAGGTCTAATATCCAGAATCTATAAGGAAACTAAACAAATAAACAAATAATCCCATTTAAAAATATGCAAAAGACATAAACAGACAAGCATTCAACGAACCTGAAAAGATGTTCAACATCAATAATCATCAGAGAAATGCAAACTGAAGCCACAATGAGACTCCATCTGACACCAGTCAAAATGGCTATTATTAACAAGTCCAAAAAAAAAAAAATAGCTGGCAAGGCTGTGGGAAAAAGGAAATGTTTATACACTTTTGCTGGAAATGTAAATTTCGGTAAATTCAGCCAATGTAGACAGCAGTTTGGAGATTTCTCAAAGAACTTAGAACTACCATTCCACCTAGTCATCCTACTACTGAGTATATATCCAAAAGAAAATAAATAATTCTACCAAAAGGCATATGGGCTTACATGTTCATTGCAGCACTGTTCATAATAGCAAAGACATGGAATCAACCTAGGTGCCCATCAATGGTAGACTGGATAAAGAAAATGCGGTCCACATATGCCACAGAATACCATGCAGTCACAAAAAATAAAATCATGTCCTTTGCAGCAACATGAATGCAGCTAGTGGCCATTATCCTAAGCAAATCAGTGCCAGAACAAAAAACCAACTAGCACATGTTCTCGCTTATAAGTGGGAACTAAACAATGGGTGTTCGTGGACATGACGAGAGCAACAGTAGACACTGGGGATTGCTAGAGGTGAGGAGCGGGGACGAGGGTTAAAAAATAGCTATTGGGTACTATGCTTAGTACCTGGTGATAGAATCAATTGCACTCCAAACCTCAACACCACCCAATATCCAGGTAAGAAACCTGCACGTGTACCCCCTGAATCTAATATAAAAGTTGAAATTATTTTAAAAAAAAAGAGTTGTCAATTCCATGACTATTTAAAATGTATCACTGTATAAGAAAAATTCAAATGCCCTGATAATATAATCCTAAAAACCTGCCTGACATTACAAATGATGAGTTTTAAAGCTGAAAGAAGCTTTTGCAAACTATCAGTAATTTTTTTAAAGTCTGATCAATAATTTCAGAGAAAAAATTATATTTTAATTCACTCTATACAAAATGAATTTACAAATTGTTGATAATGAAACAAGTGAATAAGAAATGTGTGCAGAAAATGCAGAGGTATTAAAAAGATATCAAGGAGTTAATATAATATCAATATTATATTTGTATGGATTTTGTGATATCTATGGTGATTATAAGCTTTTTACATTGTGATTTGTTATTATAAATATTCATTTTTATAACTGTTTTATAATTTTTTATTCCTTTTATTTAAAGCCTGAATCCTGTGTTTAAACCAATGATACCCAAGTACTCATGAACAAAATCATTGTGTTGAATTTTAAGATTCAGCTCTGTCTTTAAAGCCAAATTTAAGAAAAATAGTAGGACAGTCACATCAGCTTCCTCTCAGCTAAATTAGAAAGGCTAGATCACAGCCAACATTCTAAATAATTGGCTTCTCTGTTTCTCTATGACTTGTTGACTTCTTTTAGGAAATCAGTTGATCTGTTGATACGACTCATATTTACCAAACAGAAAAACTATCTAAGAACAGTTATGTCCAAGGAGCTTGCAAATCTATCCCATCAAGAAAGGAAAACACGGCTTCTGAAATACAATAAGTAAGAGAGAGGTGTATAGAAAGGCACAGAGTTTTCCAGGGATTCTAAAGAGGTGAAGATGATGGCCGGAAAAGTGATTAGGAGAACTTGAAGAGGAGAGAGTGTGACTATATTCATTTCCCCATTCCACTACAGAAGTGATTTAAGACGCATATAAGAGAGATATGAGAGAGTACACGAAATATTGAAGCAAATGAACAGACAAAAATGAGAAGAATATAATAAAGGGCCAGAATACGGGGCTAAAAGCACAGTCCACGGAGCCTTGTCCACTTATTCCAAGAGGACCTCAAAGGTGGCTCTTGGTGTAGGGATGAGGAGATCATTTATTCAAAGTGAGCCTGGAAGTGAAGGGTTGGGGTCGAGTTTAGGGGCTTAAAGCACATTCCACGGTGCCTTGTCCACTTATTCCAAGAGGACCTCAAAGGTGGCTCTTGGTGTAGGGATGAGGAGATCATTTATTCAAAGTGAGCCTTGAAGTGAAGGGTTGGGGTCTGAGTTTAGGGGCTAAAAGCACAGTCCATGGTGCCTTGTCCACTTATTCCAAGAGGACCTCAAAGGTGGCTCTTGGTGTAGGGATGAGGAGATCATTTATTCAAAGTGAGCCTTGAAGTGAAGGGTTGGGGTCTGAGTTTAGGGGCTAAAAGCACAGTCCACGGTGCCTTGTCCACTTATTCCAAGAGGACCTCAAAGGTGGCTCTTGGTGTAGGGATGAGGAGATCATTTATTCAAAGTGAGCCTTGAAGTGAAGGGTTGGGGTCTGAGTTTAGGGGCTAAAAGCACAGTCCACGGTGCCTTGTCCACTTATTCCAAGAGGACCTCAAAGGTGGCTCTTGGTGTAGGGATGAGGAGATCATTTATTCAAAGTGAGCCTTGAAGTGAAGGGTTGGGGTCTGAGTTTACAGTTCAAATGCAATGATGGCAAACCTGGGAAGCAGGGTGTTTGCAATGTTTTCCCACATTAGCCAGAACAGAGACCCTCTCTCTGCCCCGGACATTAAGCACTGGGGAATGTGGTTATTCTAACGGGCATCTTACTCTGATTAGACCTTGGCAGTTGCGCTGTACCAGAAGTTATATTCTTTACAGTTCAAAGCAACAAAACCCTTCATGCATGTGATGTCCACATAGCTTCCATAGTTCAGATCCCGAAATAGAAGAGTAACACCAGCTAATTCAACACTGCATAAATCACAAGGCCATTAAGACGGCATCCACAGGAATCCACAGAGCCTTCCGTTGCTCCTTCAGAACCATCTCTGTAACTGTTTTTACATTTCACTGATGTGTTTGCTTTTTGAATCAGAAGACATGAGGACTTACAGAGAAAATTACAATGTCAGTAGAATTTTATGCTCATATCATGGATACAAATGATCATAATCACCTTGTTTTGATGATACATCTGCACCTCCTAAAAGAGGATGCTACAAATAAGTAATTCATCCTCTGCAGTTTTTTTTTTTTTTTTTTTTTTTTTTTTGACATTTCCCATATAGAAAAACCATGAACAACGTTCCCCTTTGTACGGAGAGGCATTCCAAAACTGGCAAAGACATATTTTTATTTAAATAAATCAGCCTCACAACCGTAATTCTAACTTGAAATTGGCAAACTTTCTTTCATTTCTTATACATAAAAACCTTACATTTTAACTGTAATAAAGTGTGAATCCTTCATAGCCTGGATTTTTTAAAAGGTGACACCCAATGGGGTAATGAAAAGGGGATGTTAATATGCTAACTTTCTTGAAAACATTTAATCATTTTCATACAATACTAGAAAACTTACCTTCTTCCACAGTTAGTCTAATAGAACAAATTGTATGAAAGTTTCATAGCGGTTCTTTTATTTCTAAAATAATCACATTCAGGTCTTACCATGGAATAGCAAAGTTTTCGATTCGTTTCCTTTCCTTTGAAGAAATGATGTAGAGCAATCACTTATAAATCCTTCTAATTATAAATAAAATCCAAGATATTGTTTGACAATGAGATGCTTTATTAAACTTGATACATTTACTCTATAAGAATTCTGTGAAAAAAAATGGGTTATCAAAGTATTTTGGATCTGAATCTCTGCATTATAAAATCTATCCTAAAACTATGTCATCTCACTGTATTCTGTGACTATTAGCACACGGATGACCAAAGGCAACTAATTCCTTTCCTGGCAAAAAGACAAGTTTCAACTGACTTGCCCACGGTGTTACAAGTCCTCCTAGCAAAATATAAAGTCCCAACCCCCCTCTCTATGCAGTGTCATCTCCAGGAAGGTAAGCTTTAGGAAGCACCTGTGCCAGCCCTATCACTGTGCTTAGCATGGGGTTCAAACAGGTTCAGCCTTGAGACGGGCATGTTCCTCTCAACCAAACAACTTTATTTGGATTATTCCGAGACTCCTTGGAGGGGTGAAACTTCTGGAAAAAAAAGAGTAAGAGAGAAAGAAAGAGAAAAGGTCTGAATAATGACAGGAATACACAAAAGATCCAATTCAGCTGCACCAGGGCTCAGGGGAAGGACGAAGGAATTGGAAAACAAGCAGCTTTACAGAATGCTCTCGGGTATGACAGAAACTGACCAGACTGTCACTCCTAACACGGTGAAGGCCACCCATTCTCTTACCAGGCCTGGATGTGTCTGCAGTGAGATGTCTGTGGTTGGTAAACTGTTCCGTTGGGTCTTGTTCTACTGATCTTTCTTCTAGGTCTGACTCTGGGATTGTAGTACAACCACCTATTTGAAAAATAAAAACAATATTTTATGCAACGTGTAAGAAAATCTGCCTCTCCACACAGCAAGCATAGCTTAGGAACACACTGGTCATAAAGATAATAAATGACGTGACAACAGTCTTCAAGGGTCGCCCGAAAAGAATGACCTTAAATGTTTCTTTTTGGTGAAAATACTGGGATGAGTTACTGCCCTAAAGACACCTTATACTGATTATGACTTGGCGGCAGCAGCAGCAACAGGTTGTCTTCAAATTTATCCTTTTTAAAGTCAGAAAGGACAAAACCTATAGCATATGTAATATCTAGAATATAAGGGCCCCGCAGCAGGAATTCCATCTAATCCCAGAGCATCGGGATTCACTTGCATCACAAGTGAAGCATGTGAACCATGGGGGAAAGAAGCGTTCCTTGAGCAAAGACGAAGATTGCTGGTGTTCTGGGACGGCGGTTGTGGTGGTATTTTTCTGGAATTTGATTCTATTCCTGAATCCCAACACCTTATAGCACAGACACAAACACTTCGTAATTCAACAGCAACGCCATGAACTGCATTGTGGAAGACTTCAATCCAAAGGTGACTCGAGGATGAGCTGGCACCGCTGGGCTTCGGAAGTACCAGGTATAACTCATTCGACTTTACCCACCCAGATCTTGTACGGGAAACTCGCAATCACGCGAGAATTTCTTGGCTACATCTGCAACTTGATTTGACTGATCTGCCGTCATTTCCTGGAAATGTACTAACATGCTGTATACTGTACATGCTTTTTTTCCAAAGCCATTCTTCTTGTTAATGAAGTGTGATTTCTTTTTCTGAGGCTTCTCACACACAGAGTCCAAAGCCTCAGCACTCAAGTCTGGTTTTATGCATGAGGGGGCTTGTGAAGCTCACATCACTCTGAGGAAAGAGGGGGTATCAGCAGCACTGACTTCAAAATCACATCATTCAAATGAGTTGGACAGTGGCAAGATCCCAGGTTTGAAGGAAAACGCACCTTACTATCCACACCTCCGCCTCAACTCTGAAACAGAAATTGATGCTGAGGGAAATGAGAGAAAAGCATTTCCATACTCAGAGGTTCTCTGAATGGGAAACATTAGAATTACCCACCAGCGCAATGGAACTCGCCCAGCCCTATCTGACAATGGCAAGTGCCTTATCCAGGAGAACCAGGCTTATTTTTAATCTCTCCAAAGCCTGTAGATCATAGTAACAAGAATTATCATTACTGATTACTTCCTAAGGGCTAGAAATCTTAACCATATTATCTCATTTAATTCCTACACACTATACCATGAGATAGATATTATTATTCTTTTATAAGAAAACTGAGGTCTCATGATGAGATTCAGTAACTTGCCAATGTCTCAGAGCCCCAGTCTGGCACACAGTGGAGCTGGGACCTTTAGAGAAGCCCAAAAAGTCAGTTCCTTTCTTCTCTTCTTTACACTGACCCAACTGAGTAAAAATGAAAAGGGTACATGCGGGGTGGCAGGGCCTGGGGGAGACCAGGAAGACTGATGACAGGGAAGAGTAGAAAGAAGAGATGTGCTCCCCACTGAACAGAACCCTGAAAAAAAGGCAGAAGGGCCAGGTTCCTCATTCTGGACTCACAAATCAGACTAAGCCACTTCTCCATCCCTGAGACAGAGGGAAGCAGGGGAGGCCAGGAATGCTGCAGTCATGCAGCAGCTGTCACACACACACACAACTTCGGGAGTGAGGAAGAGGCATCCCCAGCCAACAGATGAGAGCTAGTATGACACGTAGGTAGCACAGCTGCCACATGCTTGGAGAGAGGCAGGTCTCTGCTGATAAATTAGTGTCCTTTCATTCCAGCTGACTCAGTATTTTGACAAAAACAGAATTAAAAGACTTCCTAGTTCTCTATCATGTGGGCTCAAAAAGAAAAGCCGGTTGCTATAGATTATCAACAATGCATGCCATTTCCTCTCTTCTCTTTGCCTTATCTTGTGTACAGAGATGGCCAGCTGTCCTGCCCTGGTCCTCCACCCCTCAGGTGCTATACTGGGCAGATTGCATGCACGTCCTCAGACTCCACACCCACTGCAGGGGCTGACTGGCCCTGGGAATGCCACCCCCCTTGCTTTGGATGCCTCTTGTAGCCAAACTGCCCAACTGCCCTCCCAGAGTGCCTGCCACTTCCATCTTGGGAAGAACAATGGTGGCGGGCTCTGGCATCCTGACCAGTGAGTGCATCAGGGGAAAAGAAAAGCAGCCGAAGCTGAGCAGAGAACTCCCCCACTGCTCCTGCCAACCAGAAATATGCTGGATGATTAGTTCTCTTTTGTATGCCTCCCCAAAAAAAAGGGTTGTGTACTGCATAGCTGCACCTGCTCAGCCTCTTCATGGCTCTTGGAGAGAGGCACCCCAGGTGCCGGCAGCACCACTTTGCATGACCTCACATATTCCCTTGGCAGTTTCCCTGCCCTGAGTCTCTGCTCTCAAACAACCATCACTTTAATCTTGGCCTCGGGTTCTGTCCTCTAGAGAAAACCACTGATACTGGGAGTAGTTCTATAATGAAAAGTAGGTCTTCACAATGGCTCGGAGGCAGCAGACCACAGCTCACGGTAACAAGACATCATCCAGAGATGGAGGCATGGGACACAGGAGGACTGGGCACCAGAAGCCGCAGCCTCGGCCACAGGGAGCCCTGGAGTTGACGACTCCACTGATGGCTCAGACAATGAGGCTGTGGGTAGCTACTGTGTCCTCATTTTCTGGGACCCATGTATAAGCCTCCCTGGACGCAGCAGGGTATGGCAATAATAACTGAGACCGAATCCCCCACCCTCTTGGTATTAAAGAATATACACATTTTACATTTCTTGCATCTCTGACTTAGCGAAGCAGAGTTGCGTCTGCTAGAAAGTCTCCATTTACTACGTAAAACCAAGAGATTATGTTACTTGCTAACCCTTATACAAGCTCTCGATATACTACAGTGATGCTTCTCAGGAAAACCTGCTTTTCAAATTTCCAATCTATCTAAACCAATACTTTTGTGAAATGTAATAGAAATGAATAAAAAGAATTACTAGAAAAACTAAAGAAGACATCAGCTTTCGCCTTTAGAATTAGGTTCAACAGCTGTAAAAGCGCCCTTTCAATTGCTACAAAAGTTTCTCAACACTTTACTGTGAAGGTAACAAGACGTTTTCAGGCAGACGCCAGTCTGTGAGCCACACTTAACTAACTGTAAGACATGGTCTAACTTAATGTGAGACCTAGAAAATAATAATACAGCAAATTCCTAATTAACGTTCAAATGCCAGCGAACTCCTTGTGGCAACTAAATGGGTTTCCACAACTCAACATTCTTCCTTTCTGGTCATACATCTAGTGACCAGATGTGGCAGCTCTCTCTCTAGTGGTCCCCTCTCCCATCCTAGGGGAGCTTAGGATGTCTAGGTTCCCCTCACCACCAGTAGGTGGATTATAATTAAGGGAATCTGGCGTTTTAAGTCAGAACTCTAGATGCATTTCCACAACGGAATATTGTTATAAGTAACAGTTTTTATTAGAGAGCCCTATTATTATTAAGTTATTGCTTTAAAAACTTTTCTGGACTAATCTGGAAACCTAACTTCCATGTCAAAATTATAAAATATGAAGCGTATATAATGAATTTTGAACGATCGGCATAGAACCATTTGGAACAAAAGTGTTCAACAATTGGAGACCAGACCAATGATGTTACAAAGCATGTCTCTGAGACACTTTATTATGGGGCCTATGACTGAACTGCTAACAATCAAATTATGTATATGGCATCTGTGCTAATTAAACCTTGCTGTAAAAATTTGACTTTTCCACGTTGATAACATATTAATACATATAGCAAACATTATTTAGCCAGAAATCTATTTAAGTAGAAAAATCTCACTTAAAATTTTGAACAAATAGGAATTTGCCCCATATTTATAAAGATAACACAACTCTAGGCTTTTCAGGAATTTCAAGCTGTTCTCTAACCTGTTTGTACATTCAAAAGCAAATTATAAAATGGCTGCACTTCTCCTCAAAAAGTGAAACACAGGCCAGGCACGGCGGTTCACGCCTGTTATCCCAGCACTTTGGGAGGCTGTGGCGGGTGAATCACACGGTCAGGAGATGGAAACCATCCTGGCAAACACAGTGAAATTTGTCTCTACTAAAAGCACAAAAAATTAGCTGGATGTGGTGGCACGTGCCTGTAGTCCCAGCTACTCTGGAGGCTGAGGCAGGAGAATCACTTGAACCTGGGAGGTGGAGGTTGCAGTGAGCCGAGATCGCACCACCGCATTCCCGCCTGGGTGACAGAGCGAGACTTTGTCTTAAAAAAATAAGAAAAAAAGTGAAACATATTTTATCAAGAGGTGAATTACACTAAGATATTTCTACCTATTGTCAGAAAAACAAACACCACAATGAAAGGAGCTCAGGCCTTCTCTGCAGGTTCCACGGTAGAGTTAACTGGAAGAGGTAGAGTTCGAAGGTTAAGACAGGAAGTGAAGCAGAAACAAATTGGACTGTCATCTAGAACACTGGAGATCAAAACTGGAATGCAAGGAAAGCCGTGGTATGCTGGTACATGTGGAAGAGCCGGCTTTCCAGGAAAGAGGAAAACCCCAATCCATAGTGTTTACCCATCTCTGCAGGACGAATACTCCCCCGTGGCCAACTTCAGATAACCAGTGTGACATCACCAAATGCACTGCTTGGCAGAGATGCAGCATTTTTACCAAACAGATTCCACAGATGTAACGAACCTCAAGAGAATGCATCACAGTAAAAATGGTAAAATAATTAGGACGGAAGGGTTTTGAGTTTGTATCATCTTTGTTTTTGATATAATTTATTTCATTGTAAATTTACGTATTTTTTAATAATGCCTATATATTTGACAACTGACTCACAAAATTTCTAAAAATTCAACAACTGGTTCTCAGTAGCCAGCACAAGCCAGTTCTAGCGCTGAAAGTGGGAATGGTATA